GAAGAAGGACATATTATTTCGTTGTCGATCGTTGCTACACGTACAATACAGGTAAAGAAGTGCCAATGAACATATATATGTAAGGAGAAAGAACGAACGAACCAAATATATCAAACCAAACGTTGCCATCTCATGTCTGGTCTCGAATTGCGACCATTGATGTATGAATGTATATATACATACATACATTCATTCATACACACACACATACATACCTATATATATATATATATATATATATAGACGTCTATTCTTTAATTGAAATGATACGTATATATAATAAATACGATATATAATCTTTTAGACAGCTTCTATTCTAGATGTTAACACCTATATTCGATTGGTAAAGTAAATTAACTTTTCTTGGAGTAACAAAAAATAAATTACAAAAGAGAAATCTCATTATGTCTGGACCAAGTGATGCTGAACTATTGCGTAATGCTAATATTCGTATATGTCGATTGCGTGTTTGGCCAAATTTTGAAGGTCTTGGATTTAATCTTGAAGCAGCTGTTCGACCACCACATGTAGTCCGACTTGTTGAATCCAATAGTCCGGCAGCGGCTGGTGGTTTAAAAATTCTTGATGTTATTCTTGCTGTTAATCAACAAGATGTATCTGAAGCTGATTATAATGAAGTACGAAGTGCTATTAAAACAGCTCGTGATAGTAATGGTCCTATTGAATTATTAGTTGTTGAACAACGTTTTTATCAAGCATTAAAAAAACGAAATATTCCAATTAATCCATCATCAGCTACAACTTATAATACACCACCAACAATGCCAAATGATTATTTAAATTTTCCGAAAAATCAACCACGTACAACTACTATACGTTTAAATAAATCTGATCCATCATTTGGTTTTGAAGTTGTTAATGGTGAGAATGATATTGGTGCATATATTCAAGAAATATTTCCAAATACTCCTGCTAGTAATTCATCATTACGTAAAAGTGATCGTATTATTGAAATTGATGATAAACTTGTTGATAAAGATGTAAGCAAATCTATATTGGAAAAACTTGGTAAAGCAAGAACAAAAGGTATTGTGAAATTATATGTTGCTGATACACATACATACAAACATTATCAATTAAACAAGATACCATTATCATCAAAAGCAAAACGAAAAAGTCAATCAGAAGATAGATTATCATCAAATCGACATTATACAAATGATCGTGAATGTAAGTATCAAATAATCATAGAGAAAAAAACACATACTTATATATGATTAATCCTAATCAACCTTGTATTAATATTTACTTTCAAAAAAAAAAATGAAAATTGAGATGTTTTGTCTCATTTTACAGTAGTTACATATATAAGAACATTACTGTAATAATCCTTCTTTCCTTTTTTTGTAAAATGACAACGGTTTATACAGAAGTTTTCTTTTCAGCTCCTAGTATAAATGATGGTAGTCAACGAGCACCATCAAATGCATCGACACTTCGTGATCTTCCACGAGCAAAAACACCAAGTGTTCCCGATTTAACACGACCAACTCGACCACAAATATCAACATCAATTATACCATCACCAGTAATGCCATTAAATCACGAAGATATACGTTTAAGTACAATAAATCGAGCTGATGCTGCTGATACATTTGGTATTGAACTTAATTTTCATCGACGAGAACAATTTCATTCGTTAAGTATTACACCTGGACGAGATAATGGACCATCAAGTAAGAATCATGTTAATTTATCTTATCAAAAAGAGAATTTCGAATAGTAAAAAACTATTATCTTTCCAACAAATATTTCTTTTTTTTGCTGTATCATAAATATTTGCTATAAAATATCTAAGTAGTTTATTTTCATAGAATTATTTCAAATATTTACGATTAAGATAATTTATGACATATTGAAAAGGAAAAGAATATATTATTTTTTTATTCTCAAAAAAAAAGGTTCATGGATAAAGAATAGAAGTAGTTTCTTATCAGTATAGTTAAAGGTTAAGAATGTGGTTAGATTTTTGAGTACAAAAGAAGTAAATGAATATTTGATAAAGGATTGATGGAAAACGAAGACATTTTTAAAAAGAAAAATGTCAAAAAAACAAACATAAATACAGATGTCAGCTATTCAAATTATTACACTTTAGAAATAAGATTGATGATGAATGAAAATTTAACAATTAATTTTTCTCCCTTCTTCGCATTCGACATTCAGAAATTATAATAGATTAAATATAACTTCTATTTAATAGCAAAACAAAAAGCATTTGAACGGTTTGTAGAATCGTTATACTCACTGTAAACATCCAATATATGATCGTTTTGATATGAAACTGGTCGTAGACTGTATCGAGAGCAAATAAAACCTGTATATTCTTGATATTCGTGTCAACTAATGATCATTTTATTGAGTTTCTTTCTATTGTATTGAAGTCTTACGATTTACATTATATAGTAAATGTTCTATATAGAATAAATATTTTCGTGTAAAAATATGACATTCTTGACTGATATGTAATATGATACAAAAAAGACTATCGAATTTCTCATATATTTGCGATTTCAAAAAACTGTGAAATGCAAATGTTTAATCTTTGTTTTTGGTTTATAGATGCTGAACTTGCTGGTATAAAATCTGAAGATCGTTTGATTGAAATCAATGGTCAAAATATTCAAAGTTTTGATCATGATCAAGTAACTCAACGTATACGTTCAGTTAAATATCCTGAACCATTACAAATGTTAGTTGCTGATGTTCCAACATATGAACATTATAAACAACAATCAAAATTAATTCATCGTAGTTTACCAAATGTTAGAGTAATGCCACCTAATCGACCAGCTCGTTCAGTATCACCAGCTTCGTCATCACGTCATTGTATGTATTCGGAATAATGAAAGATAAAAAAATTTCTATTTCTTCTTTCTATTTTTTAGCTATTGATACTAGACCATCATCAATTATAACACGTGAACAACCGAAAATACAACCTACACCACCTA